ATTGATAATATTATTAATTTACTTAATTTGATATCATAAGAGCGCGCGTTGCCCTTCGAGGTATCCACCTACATACTTAACTTTATTTTGTAACCGGGCATTTGGTCGTTTGTTACTAAGTAAATAAATAAATACATGAGTCATTCTAAGTCTTTCAAAGATTTCAGAAGTCTCCAAAATACTTCAGAGTGTACAGCTCCTCGCAAATATCTCAAAAACTGGTACCGATACCTTACCTTTAAAATATTTTCGATAACGTAAAAAAATTAAACGCAAAAAATATTTCAAATTCAAGAAAAGATTGATTCGTTAGTGGCGATAAATTTTCTAATTTAAATGAAAAAAAAAAAAAAAAAAAGTAGTCTAGAAACATTTAATAAAAAACAATCGGCTGAGGCAATTCTGCCGTGAGGAGGGAATCGATAATTACCGCGATTTCAAGTTCTGATTAACAATCGGGTCAGGATCGCCGCTTGATCAGTATCAGCGGGATATTAAAATGTCGAACAAACGGAACGAAACTGAAAAAAAAAAGAAAAAAATAATACATCAATCTCGAAGGGTGAGAGAACAATGAAAGCAATGTACGATGCTGTGAACTCGCGTTTGAAAGAGAAAGAAAAAAAATGAGGGGCAGGGATCGTGATAAAAAGTTGGCCAGGATACTTGGCATCATTACAACCCTATTAGGCGAACAAACGCGATTAGGACAACTTTTCGCTTGTTCGTCGTATCGCGTCATACCCGGTCCAGCGTGGCTGGTTTTAATTCAATTTCGCGATTGCGAGTTTTAATTGCGAAGCGCTCGGGGGTCATGCGATACGCACGGACGGGGCAAAGCGATAAGCCGACAAAGGCAAGCGCAAAGAGAATCCGAGTGGGAAAAAACACGGAGCTCGGTTGTACTTTTGCTCGGTGGAAAAGCTCTTTTGCCGGGTTGTTTGTGTTTTTTGTTCTGGTTGCAAAAAGCTTTGGGCTACCTTGCAAGGAAGATATTGCGAGAGACTTGGAAAGTTTAGCTTGTTGAATTTCAGGTCAGGACAAAAGTGCGACGGGACGATTTAATGTGGAAAAAGAACGACACTGCGCTTGGGGATTTCATTCACTAGGCCAGTCCTTGCCTTGATTTCAGATGAACAGATAATGTCTAGGGAAAAAAATACATTTGAGCCTGTATGGGCGTTTGATTGGCTAATGATTGTTTATATGGTCCGGGCCTTTTTGCGTGAAAGCAAAAAGTTTGAACATAAGGACGGTTTTTTTTATTAAGAGCAGGGATGAGCAAAAAAATAATGAAAATTTACAAAATTTGATGTATAAATGAAATTGTTTTAAGAAATACCGAAAGAGTTTAAATTAAAATATTCTAAATACATTCTAAACAACTACAAAAATTTAACCTTTTTTTTTTAAATACAACAAAAAAAATTGTAGGTACGATTGGATGTAATCTAATTGTTTAAAATANACAAAGGACAAAATGCTAAAAAAAAACTCAAACCAACTTTCTATTGTTTCAAAAAGCATAACAAGAGGTTCATAAAAAAAAAAAATCGTAATTGCATAAAAAGAAGAAAGACAAGGCTTTTTAAAAGTGTCCCATCTCGTCTCTGCACAGATCGCCTGGAGGCATCGTTCCAACTCGAACGAGAAACCGGGTAAGGAGCTCATCACCTTCCTGATTGTCGTTAACATAGCCATGTGGACAGTAAACACCATGGAAAAGTCCCGTGCCGGAGTCAGACCTGATCACCTCGAGTTCTTCGGCACCTGGGCTTGGACCATCATGACCCACGTTTCCATGCCTTTGGCCATTTTTTATAGGTTCCATTCGGCGATTTGTCTGTTTGAGGTTTGGAAGAGTTGCTACAAGTACAGGCCACTTGTTGATTTACACACCCACGTTCTTCCTTGAATTGTAAAATTAGTTTCCATCAACTTGTGTTTACGATTAAAAAATATGTGTTTTATCTTTGTAAATACAAATGTCAAGCTTACCCTTAATAATGTCATATGGTTACGAATTTTTTGTGTAATTCTCTTATGTAACAATTTGTAAGAAATATAATTAAGATTTGATAAAAAGATGCCGTACTTTTTTTAAAATTAAATATTATCTCGCGTTTTAAATACTTTATATAAATGATAAAATGGGATAATCGTGCATTATCCGCAGCAGTACTTTTATGACTTTTACATTTTCTTTATGAGATCCAGGTATAAGATAATTAAATAGTATACTTTTTGTAAATGCTGATTGGGTGAGTGATATTCAAAGTAAAGTCTTGGAAATGCTGTCATTCATGGTTACAAAATGTTATTTTCATTTATTTAGTTAATGTAAAACTACAGAAAAAAGTTTTTATTAATAATGAAAAAAATTAAAACAAAGCTTATTCATTTTCAATTTTCATGAAAACATAATTTAAATTCATTTGACATAGGTGTCGCGAGCATACTCATCGACAGTTGTATAAATACTTCTGAAACTGCGTTGTAAAATTTTTTTTTTTTTTTTTTTTTCATTTCAATAGTTACGTCACTAAGCTAACATGGTTTTTTGTCTCGTTTATGTTCCATATTACATTTTGTAACCTTAAAAATAAATATTAAATGTTTCACAATGAATCACTTCAAGCACGCCTAATAATCACTTATAATTTCATCATTAATAGCATTATTGATTTTATTAAAGTTTCAGATTTTATTTTTATCATTTTTGTAATAATCACTACTTTTTAAGTAGCTTCTTGCAAACGGTAAATGAAATATGACTTTAAAAAAATTTATAATTATGTAAGATCCAAAAATATGATTTTGAAGACATTACTCTATTATCTGTTCATTCTATTTCAGGAAAAATGTCTTAGATAATTATAATAGTGAATTAAAAATTTAATAAAACTCACTGGAACTTATAAAGTACAGTAAATTAACTGTAATTCTTTCGCAAAATATTGGGATAATGTGACTACAGCCTTTAATTCGTTGTATGGTTGGTTAAATCCGGTCACGAGGTGGGTTGGGCGAGGGCTTACAAATAAGTAATTCCATTATTTACATTTCTTCAAGCTTAATAACAATGATCCAAACTAAAACTATTTTAAATTTTCTTGTTTTTGAAAGATATAGGCAGACAAGAAATTTCATTTAATGAAATGAAATGATAATATGCTAAAATTTTTTAAATTAAATCATAGTTGCATTTTACATTATTGTAATGGTCCTTATACACACACGTTTGTGTTGATTAATTTTTTGAAATTATAACTCATTTATTTCTATTGCGGCGTTTACATTCAAAGTTCTCGGACAAAAAACCATGTCATTTGTAGAAATATAAAGATTGCATGATTCACTGAGCCCAGATTTTTTTTGATTTACTCGATTAGGTGATGTGTTTACTCAAGTACAAACACAACTATTTTCCACCTGTGGTAATGCATTTTTCAGGGCTTGCAGTATTTCTATTCAGTAAGGGTGTTGTAGCATCGCTGAGTTGTCAATCAATAAAATTATTTAAAAATTTTAATCATTACAAATTGAAATTTTATAAAAAAAAAGTCTAATCTTACACGTAGTGCAGACAAACTATTAACTGTTTGAAATTTAAAGTTTTGCCGTGCTCTTGTGGGATACAATATTTTTTTAAATCTATAAAATATGTGACAGGTACTTTAGCAACAATAGTCGGTGGACTCAAGCTTTTACGGCAGCTTGACCACGTGGACAGCGCCAGGCCACCTCACCTCGACGCTACCCTACTAGCAGCTGCGCAGGCCGGCGTTTATTTGCACTCGATGTTTGGTGCCGTGGGTAGTGTGCTGACCCAAGGACCTGACTGGCTCATTTGCCTGGCTGCCGATATTTTGGCGCTGCTTCAGAGCACCTTGCAAACTATTCTTATCAAGGTGGGATTGGAATCTTTTTTATTTCATATCCATGTTTGTCAATCGGCAAGTATACTGATACAATGCAATGGTTGAGCTTTTTGGTACGATTTTCTCGGGATTAACCAAAATAGAGTAAAAACGCTGCAAACTATGACAAATCCAAAAATAATCTAAAAAAGCGTTGATCGATGAAGGGTTACGTTTAATGATCTCACGATAAATTATCTAAAAAAACGTTTCTTTTTAATACCGTAAGCTTTTCGTGCGCTCATTAGAAGCTAAAATAAATAAATACGTCACTGAGAAAGATGTTTTTTTCCACTGTACTGAAGCTGTACGGGGACAAAGGACAAAATGCTAAAAAAAAACTCAAACCAACTTTCTATTGTTTCAAAAAGCATAACAAGAGGTTCATAAAAAAAAAAAATCGTAATTGCATAAAAAGAAGAAAGACAAGGCTTTTTAAAAGTGTCCCATCTCGTCTCTGCACAGATCGCCTGGAGNCGTATACTTTTTGGGAGTTTTAAATCTTAACAGCTTTAAGAAATAGCCCTTTTCGTTGATTATACGGAAGAAACTGCAAATCAACGGCCCTTTAGGGCCAACGATTATTTTATGGCATAAAGAACGCACAGTACTTCTCAGCATAATTATATTTTTTTCACCTTTTACAACTTTTTACTTGACCAAATAAACTGTATGGATTCCGAACAAATACGTTTTTAATATGACGATTTTTGTAAGGAGAAGATTCAGAAATAGATGTAAAATTTTTTACCGAAAACGTTTCACATTACATGTCAATATACTACGGTGTTCCATTTAGTGAGTCGCGGGCGAAGAGGAGAACGGGGGCCACTAGTTTATACATAAGTTATAATTAGTTTAGTAAGGTATTTGTGTAAGAAACATCTGAAATTTTCTATGTATTTCTAGCTACAGCAGAAAAAATCTCACAACTGCACCATAGACTGTAAAAACCACTTGAGACGCCAACAGATGGCACAACAGCGTCAACGGCATTATGGTAGCTTTTGTCTTCGCCTCGGCACTGTCGGCTTCGGAGCCGGCAGCCTCGTCTTTACCGGCTTGCACATCGGCGCCGAACTCGCATCCGAACCTCTCAGGGCCATCGTGCCGGGAACGCGGCTGCTTCTCGTTACGGCGCAGATGCACTTTATTTTCCTCAACAGCAAGGACCTCTCGTTTACGAGGCATGAGGCGCTTGCCAAGCTAGGGCTTATGCACCTCATCGCCACCAACATTTGCGAGTGGCTTAAGGTAAAACGAATGTTAAAATAATTCATGTACCTTTTTCACACAACAGTTGCAGCTTCTGTAGACACAACTATGAAAACGAGATAGGAGGTGCACAAAAAAGGCTTGGTATATGTTTAAGGCCACATAGAGATTTTGGGGTGTCTTTTAAAACTAACAAGTGGAAAAGAAACTTTTCACTCAAATTGCTTTTATGGTGACTGAGTAAAAGTTTCGAGTGCTAAGATTTTGAATGCTGAAAGATCTCGACTTACTTTACATTGACTGCTTCTATTCTGTGTTCTCAGTCTTTTATGTGAAGATGTGCAAAGGTTATATTTGTATGGGAAGTTAATAAACGGTCTACTTCTTAGATCTGTGAGTAAAAGCTTGCCAACACATTTTTCTTACATTATTATCTTACAAAATTTTACGATGACTTGAAATTTTACTTTACTTGTTGTTCCATATTTGTAGGACATACTGGATTTAAAATAGCGTCATTTAGTTGATGGTTTTTTATGTGTTGAGCTCTTTTACTCCATACTTATGCCAAACCTATGTGAAAGAAGTTCTATATTCATTAAAAATATTTAATGNACAAAACTTTTTTTTTGACTGATAAAAATGTTCTCTATAAAAAACCCTGCCCTAAGAATCGGAGTAATCTACCTAATATTTGGTAAATCAAAGAAAATAACGTTAGTATTTATTGTTAAGTCTAGAAAACATTTAAGATAGTTTAACGTGTCGTTTAGAAAATAACTAAGAAACTAACTACTTGTAGGCCAAATTCGACTTCTTTTATCAATGCACTCTTCTTTAAAAGTAATCCAATGACTTTCACTTTTGTGAATTTTTACTTTTTTACAAAAAGCTGGTGTGTTCAATCATAATACATCCTCTTCCAATGAAATAAAGTGCTTCTTTATATGTACATGAAGTATTATACATGTAGCATATATCGCTTATCATATGCCAAGTATTTTCTCTTACGCCAGGTTTATTTTGTGCACCTTAAAGTTCCCATGCGAAAATCTGAGAAACAAAATATGTTTAATTTAGTAGATTCAGAAAAATGTGCTGAATCCAATGGTAACTCTGTTTATACTTTAAACTGAAAAAAATCTCGAGAAATTTCAGCTCAAAGTTGAATCATTTAACACGAGCTTAAATGAAAAAGCGTTAAAAATTAGCTGTACAAGCATTTTCCGACTCAAAATTAAAAACCTGAGCAAATATTTTATGATGTTATTGTAGAAATATTCCGTTCTTTTAAATTCTGCTTTGGAAAATGCATTATTTAAAGATATTTACCAAGAAAGACGTAAAAATCAGCTTCATAGTTATGAATGACAGACAATAGCGGAATATATACCAATACTGATGTACGTATTAAGTCGCGTGGAAGCGCGACGAGGTAAGTTTGAGAAAGCAGACGAAGCCTCGGCGACCACGCTACTATTTACTTCAGATTTGCATACTCGAATTTTCAAATACTGAAAAATAAGTATTTTTGCCGGTATGCCTGATGTATTTTGGTTTAATTAAGTCTCTTTAATCCTAGTCCACAACTTTACCAAAAAGTATAGGTCAAAAAGTAGTTAGAACAATCAAAACGAGACATGTGTATCTCGAAATGGTCAAAACAAGATTTTTTTTAGGCTCAGTCTCCGAAAAATGGTCTTATCGTTAAGTTAACTGCAACCCAAATTTTTCCTGTGTATAGTTAGAATAGGCGTGTTCTTAAAATCAAGCAGAGCTGCCAACAGTGTGATATTAGCTACAGGTACTACCTAATATCACAAATTCACAGTAGATGATAGCATGCAGTGTTGGGAGTTTTCAGTGGTTGAGATGGTAGAGCGCTTGCTCCCCACCTGGAGGGCTCGGGTTCGGGACTCCGTTCCATCACTTCCTCCTTGGTAACTAAGTGGTATTTTTAATATGAACTAATCACTAGGATATCATATCAATAGGCTTCTGGTACATAGCATTTCACCATGGCATGCAGATAAGCAGTTTATAGGAAGACGCCACGATGCCTTGGAAGAGGGAGGTGGTGGATATGACTCTCTCATAGTAAAATCATCCCCTAAATGATCAGTAATACAAAAAATGAGATATATGTGGCAAATCGAGGTCAAATGTATATGTGTGCACTTATAAGCATGTAGAATGTACCCAACCATTCAAACAACGACTGACAAGTCGACGTGTTGGTAAGGTAGGACACCTACCGGGGGAAAATTTTGAATATGAATGAAAATGTAAAACCAGGAATTCTTCAATATCCTATTTATTCTAACCCTGAATTTCGTGTGCCTTAAATGCGAACACATTAATTTAAGTATCTAAATTAAAATTTGAAATAAATTAATTACAAGTAATAAATTTTATTACTTTTTTAGTATACTTTTTTTGGTACTTAAAGTATGAGTACTAAACAGTATTATACTACGAATTTCATACAAAATGTATGCTGCGCAAAAAAAAACTTGACTATTTTTATATCTTGATTTCAGAACTTGTTAAGGCTCCAGATTCATTAGAAAGAATACTTTTTACTGCTAGTGTGTATATAGGTTCAGAAATTCCTTACGAAATAAGAACTCAATACATCAAACTTACTTAACATTTAAGGTTTGTAGAAAGCTATTGTTAAAGAGATATACATATACATACACAAGTACAACTTTCCTACTTGACTAGAACAGTAGACAAGAGAGCTACCTTAGGGTGGCTTGGGCGATTTGGAATGGCTTGATTAGGACTTTTGAAATTCTGGAATTATGTAAATTAAGTATGCCGAATTTATTTGCGATAAAAAAATACTAGGGTCGACCATTTAATTTTTATGCAAATTTCTACTGAAAGTCACTAATTTAACATGCAGTGTTATGGAAATTGTCACTTAAACGGCTATAACTCTAAAAGCACTTGATTAACCTTAAAAATTAATAATGGTACTTGTGTATTTTTTTACAAAAAATCTATTAAGTTTTTAAAATATAGGATCAACCACGTAAATTCAGAGTTAATCGGAAGAAAACTATGAAAAATTAATTTGGCTTCTGACTGCGTCTGCGTATGTCGGTGCACATGCTCCATAAGTTTGGCAACAGTGCCTATAGCGCATTCATGCACGAAATTCAAAGGAGTTGGAAAAAAGTAAATAAATAAGTTTTTGTGAACTCATAATATTGATAGCATTTGGAATATGATTGTTATGGCCACGCTTGATGAATTTTCCTTTTTGTTTGCCCACAGTCACATGAAGATTATACATTTTTGCATAACTTTAAAAAAAAGATTTGTTCGAGGTGGATGTATTTTGACGTATAAAACGACAACGCGAGCGGGTATAACTATAGCAGCCGCTGAAATATGCGACGTTGACACGCAGGAACGTACCGTCAATATCAAGTGCCTCGGAACATCTCTCGGTTTTTACCATTAACATTTCTCGGTACCTCTGAGGCAATTTTTTTGATCTTGTATTTTTGTTTTATCAAATTAAGTATATTCATTTAAAAAATTACAGTCAAAAAGCGTTGGTTTATTACGGGCCCTTATGGCACCCTACCTTAGGTGCGGCACCAACCGCCCAAGCCACCTTAAGTAGTACTGCTCTACACGGTACATCTGCTTTAAAATTATTATCTATTTCTTGTAATGATCTTTTATAACATAAAATCGATCAGTGTTATCTCTATGATGTTGATCACAGTGCAAAAGACAAGAGCATTAAAATATCTCTGATATTTGAAGACACCTACTTTTACTAACCAAACAACATTTTATCTAATAAGTTTACTCACAACTAAGTATTAAGTATAGTTTATACTGATTTTTTCTGTCAACTAAAGTTTGAACTATGTTGAGATACATTTTGATTTCGCATCAAGTTACACTATTCATTAAGGGTTTGGTAGGTACATTAAAAGAATACAATGTTATATTATAGATATTATTTATTACTCAATAAATATAAATGTTTTCTTAGTTTAATTTTTGGTAGCAAACACCACTATCAATACACACTACCGCTAATGTTAGATTCGTTAAAAATTTTATAGTTTAATGTCTAAAATTGATAAAAAGTACATGGTTAAAAATACATAGCATCTGAGTAAAGTGATGATTTCATGATTGACAATGCACCAAAATATTGTACAACATGTCATTGTGCTGAAACTAAGTAATTTAATATATTATTTTGTTTTAGAGATGTACAATTTTTTTTAATAATTTTGACAAAAATTGTTACTTTATCATAGACCACCTCTTTGAAAAATTACTTTTATACCAGAGAGAATATGAATTTGAGACCAGATTTTCATTGATTGAACTTTATAGTCTTCTCGTTCGAATCATGCAGAGGTTGCTGCTGTGGTAACTCAGTTATAAAATTGACTACTGATTGTTCATTTCTTTTTAGCCATTCAATTCTCTTGTTGGACTTGTCTAAGCCTCTATTGACGGCATTTTTGTAAGCCCTTCTGTATATTGGTCTTGAGATCTGAAAAATACAATGGATGATAAGAAATTTTTCGTCCATGTGTTTGCTATTACACTTACTTTGGCTCGTTGAGACTGTGATGTCACTTTCCCGGCAGCATTTTCAAAAAGTAGTGGCATAATATTATTTCTGTAATTTTTTATGCATAGTATACTAAATGTGTAATAAGTAGAGAAGCTTAACTATGTAAATTGACTTATATACCTCTTCCAACGTATGATTTTGTATAAGTCGTCAGTGACTAAATCAAGAGTCGTATCCAATTTTATTGCGTTGTGATCCAGCATCATAGATAGCAAAGTAAAAGTATCAAGAATTGAATCGTTTTTAAACTTATTTAAACGTTTTCTCAAAAACGTTTCGTTTCCAGAACAACCCGCAACGTTGTTTAGGCTTTCTACGGTATTTGGATCATAAGAACGGGATTTGTTATCCAAAGACGTAAACAATTCATCTAGGTTTTCATAATTATGCAGACCATAGCATAGTACAGCGTCTTCTAGATTGGAGGCAATCCTGAAACAAATCAAACGTATTATCATCTGGGAAATTTTTTATTTTAAGTGGGTATAAATCGAAATTACAGGTTGTTGATTGGATCACGCAGCCATGCTTCGAATTTTTCTAGTGCTATTTTGTGACATAATTGGTGGCCCATTTTACAGGCCACGGAAAAAAGTCTTGCTCTGCATGTTTTTGTGAAATCATCATCTTGCTCATTTTCCCTAAACCCAATGGTATCGATTAACTTCTGCATAATTTTTAATGCATATTCCTACAATAACAGAATAAATAAGGTTTACATATTACGTCTTTAACTTTACAATCTATATGTTTTAGGTTGTGTAAACCACGTTTACACAAGTACCTGAAATTTCGGGTAGCTTTCTGTATAAACTAGCTGAATACCAAGCCAATCTAGAACCAAAAAGCCTGGATACCATGCCAGACAGTTTGTTTCATTTTTCAAGTAGCTGTGTAACCTCAGAAGAATCGTCAAGTCTAACTTGTCTTCATGCGCTAGTAAAAAGGCATCGTTCAGCAATTGATAGCGATTGAATAGATGAATCTTTTTATAGTCAGGTGACATGAGGTAGTCAATGATAAGTTCCCAATTAGTTTTATCGTAATTAACTATGTAAAAACCTAGTCACGCATAATTTTCTTTTGTTTTAGCAATCAATTAAACAGTAAGTAAGTATTTTTACGTAAAAAGATTTATATTGCTTACCTGTATATTGTTTATTAACAATTATCCAATCTTTCGGTTTAACGTCAGCACAAACGGTCATAGAATGATTTGTTAACCAATACTGCGTTGAAGTGTTGGCAAAATCTAATTTCTTTCTACTTGCATAGTTAATTGAAATATGCCACTTGTGTTTGTTATACGCTTTTCTATCAAGCACTTTATGTACGGAGAAGCGAGTTTGTTGGAACTCTATTTTGTGAGTTGAATAATTTCTCTCTACTTGTAGAATCGGATAACCTTCAAAATTATTCTATGAATCCATAACTGGTTTTAGTTGCAAATTTATATTTTTATTATTGATTACTTCCTGTACTGCTTGATAAAAGTCATTTTAATTCGCATATTCATGGTATCTAAGAAAAAAGCGAACAAATTAACTGATAGTTTAGAAATAACAAAGGAGGAATTGATAGATTAACTTACAACTGTCTAAAATAGTTTTATACTCCTTGTTTAAAAATTGGCTCTGTAAGTATATGTTGCATCATACGTACAATATGTGCACCTGATAACTTATAAACATTTTAGTTTTAAGCTTTTTAATCATGACAATAGAGACAACATGAGTTTACAGTAAAAATATAATCAAATCTTTTAACATACCTTTTTTATAAGTTTCAAAATCATTAAAATATGAACGATCGTCTTGTTCAAGAGTCGTCCAATCCCAGTCGTAAATAGAAATATGTGACCCCTGGTTCGTAGATATTGGTAAAAGCATTGTAATAAAATAATCTATAGCTCCTTTTTGAGAATCCACCTAAGTTTCGTGTTTTATTCAGAAGATAGTTTTCTAAAAACATTGAATATAAGTGACCAAAAATTATAATAACCAAGTTCAAAAAAAATAATAAAGAATACTTTATACCTTATCCAGAATATAACAACTTAGATATGGACTTATGTTGTCAGTCACAAAATTGTATTTTGACGACACAACGTCTTCAAACCAATGAATTGTTAGTGATCGCGCTATTATGAGTTGACTTTCAATTTGTTGTTCCCGAATCAGTAAATCATTTGAACTTAAAAAAAAACTTAAAGTAAAATTTACGTGTCCATGTTGTAACAACAAAACCAAATAATCAGCGCAATCGATATTTAAAGTAACTTAAGCATCAATAGTTAAGCCCCAACTTGAAATTACAAGTCCCCACGAAGTTGGTAGGCTGATAAAATCCCACTTTCCGATTTTGTTGGTAATATTTGTAAATCTCTCTAGTTCAGTGATAACCTTTTGAGTGAAACTCAATCCATAATCAGCATACCGAAGCAATTCTTGAGTAGTCCATACCGTTATGTTTTCAGCATCATTGCTAATGTTTTTAAAATCCAAAACACACAAGCCTAATTGGTTAATATCCATCGGTGGAGTCTTTTTGAATACCGATGTTGCTGTTGAACCCTCATAAGACACATTTTTTATTGACATGCTTGAAAGTGCTACGTAATTTTTATCGTCATTTATTGTAACATCAAAGGTGGCCTTGTGGTCAGATTCCAGAAAACAAGGAAGAACTGAAGATGTGTATTTAGACCGTAATATTGCTATAATGAAGGACCTGAAATTTAATTTTGGCTCGTTTATATTATATATTATAATCATCGTACACTTGGTTATAAAGATAAAACTTACACATTTTCTTTTTTCTCGTTTATATAGAAATCAATGAAGATTCCAGCTTTTTCTTCCTTGGAAATAGTACCAGTATAATTTATTTTTAACAAGAGTTTTTCTTGTGGAAATTGGTCGTAAGACTTTGTAAAGGATACGAGATTCTCATTTGGTTCAAAATCCACTGAAAAATCCTGGATATCAACTCCATCTGATGTTTGTAACGAACAGTTTTCACGACCGAATAACAACTTGTTAGACAGCAATGTAATGTTGTTAACAGATCTTTCAACTTGTAACTCTATTTCCACAACACTTTCAAACGTTAAATATTTTTCAGAGTTTCTGTCAGTAAAGTAAGGCGTCAGTATTATATTGTAATTAATTGGCCGAACATTTGCGGTTTGCTTGTCCTCGGTATTGATAGATATACTGTTGGTTGTTGTTTCATCTGCGTAAGTTTGGATACAGAAGCAACCAATGATAATCAATGCTTTCGCTACCCTTAACATTTTGGCACTATGCTTTGTAGCTATAATTATAAAAAAAAATTATGTACTTCATCCCTATTTGTGACAAGAAATTCAATAACGAATTCACAATGAGAGTCAAAATGAGATTTAATAACTTTTGTGACCCTTTGTAAACTAATCTTTTTTTATTAAAAAATAAAATATTATTATCACCCCAAATAGCTTGCAATTTTAAAATTTTTTAAGAAAATTATTAAATAACGTCGAAAAACGACTGTGAGTTAATCTACAATAGTACAGTTGCCAAGCTACAAATCGTTACTTTTTAAAATTTAAAAGGACACATCTTAAGGTAAAATTTGGTAATTTTAAAGTTGTGCCATAACCAATGAAGAATACGTAGTTCAAAATTGTTAAAACATTATTTTTTTTTGGAATTCAAAAATTCTTTAATTCAAAACTAAGAAACTATGGTGTATTCATCCCAATTAATTTTTTTTTCTTAAAAAATACACAAAAAAAAGAATTTTATTAAGTTTTTTTTTTAAAGCAAAAAGCCGCATTACTGAATTTGTTATTGACATTTATTAATAACAATTTAATAACAACGATTCTAGTCATCCACCCTTGCTTTTCATATTGAGAAGATCAAAGTGCATAGAATAAGAAAAGGTGTATTCGCGAACTTCGAACAGCCACGTGCACACACCACTGGACTTTATATCTGAATTTATTAACTGTAGCAGTATTACTGGTTATTTTACGCCAGAAAACATTTTTTTTTTAATTTCACACCTTTTACAACGTTGATATAATCGAAAACTATAAAATTGAACTTTTTAATTACTTATCATAAATTTTTTTTGATTGGAAATGATTATATAATAGAATTGATTCGATAAACTATTATCCTGAGAATAACATTTTACGTAATTTTCCAATAAGGATACATGTTGAACCGATGTTTTATGATTATTTAATATTTTGTGATTTCCAAGAAAAACGAATTTCAAGACTGAAATAGTAGTTTTCCTACGAGTTTGAAAAGTCTCTGTTTGCGAACTGAGAGGTTTGCAGCCCGAGCCGAAGGCGAGGGACGTAACAAGGTTCGTAAAGGAGACTTTTCGAACGAGTTCCGGAAAACTGCTTTTTCGCCCGAGGAAGTAACAGCCTCCCAAAACCACCCGAGGGCGGAAAAGATATTTTTTGACAGAAACTGCGTGTTTCTTCGTGTTTCTTACCGGTAGATACTTAAACAGATGACTATATGATTACATTGGTGGTAAAAAATGCTATTGGTCGTTTTTTGAGTTCTTTCGTTAGGAGAAGAATATAGTATTGATTCGATATTTAAATGTATAGAAATTTAACAGAAGGACGTATTTAATCACAAGTATGACATGCCCGCTTACAAACTAGTTTAATCGAGTAACAGATATTTGTTATCCAAACTCGTGATATAGGCGGTATATATATACATGTATATGAGATAATCCACAAAAAGTATTCCAATTTTGTCCACCATTTTAATAAAAAGATTTTTTTTGAGGCAAATCCTTGAAACTGAGCTCAAATTACTCGTACTATCATGTACTATGAGGAAAAGATTTTGAATATGGATTTCAGTGAAAGTAATACTCTTTTTCTGGGATGTACATGTTAAAAGTACGTCTTTACATATCATCTATATAAATATAATTGTAACATGTAAATTGTGCAGAAAAAGAGTGTTACTTTCACTGAAATAAGCGTTCAAAATTTTCTTACAGTACACAACACAACGAGTAAAATGAGCCCGGTTTCAAAGGTGTGCTTCAAAAAAAAGTTTCGTAATAAAATGGGGGACCGAAACAGGATATTTTGTGTTGATTTTCTAATATAGCACTAGTGCCTACTTCGTAATACAGTTCTGACTTTCGACGAAAGCGATGCTTCGACTGTGATTGGAATATTTTAACGAAGTTAAAGCGCCAACTGCCAAACTATCCCTTTATCCTTATACATTTGAAGTCTCACTACTATACAGTATCTCTCTCTCTCTCTCTCTCTCTCTCTCTCTCTCTCTCTCTCTCTCTCTATTTTTCTGTCTCTGATAGCCCAAGTATGATGCCAGTTATATATACCGTACCATATGAATGTACAGCAAAGTAAAATTGTTAATTTTTGCTACAGCAACGATTTTTTATATTACTTGTTTGGTTGGGCCAGGACAAGAGTCAGTTATTCCAGTGGGCCAGGAAAATGGCAATTAGTTGCTGTGCGTATTACGGGAAACGGGTTGCTTAAATCATTTGAAAAATTTATTCAGACAAAAGTACACTAAAAAAACGATAAGATTTCTGGTCTTCACTGAATTAAAAAAAAAAATTGAGTGAAGTGGTTTGTCCAAGAATCCACACAAATGTGTAACAAACAGTGCAGTGAAATAATCAAAATTTTTTTATGTGGTATTGTATTTTACTACGAACATTCTGTGTGAGTATTATTAAAAAAATACTATGTGTGATTAACGTCTTGAAATGAAAGTTCAAAAAATTTTGGTTTCATCGCTACTATGTGGAAGTTGATGTAAAAATAATAGCTTATTGCTTTTATTCTACAAATTTTATTGAGTATGTAAATTTTGGGGAAACTAAGAGCAACGTTAGTTATCGTCATTTCTAGGTGTACAAGTAATAATACTGCATTGCTTTGTTGTATGTTCATTCAAAAGATTTTAAATCGAATTTAATTATCTTGATTTTAGGTATGACTAACGAGTATGAATATTATGATAAAAAATATTATTTATTAATGAGTACTGCCCCTTGCACGACTTCTCAGTCATGAATTTCATCACATCAATTTTTCAAAAAAGTTATTCGTAAAACTAGAATCAAGCCTTACCAACAAGAGCAAGAGACTTTCAACCATGAAAGTTAGAGCATTACTTTAAAAAACCAACTTTACTAATTGATTCTTTTGTAAAAATGTTTCTTAGAATTTCGTTTGCTTTTTACTGAATAACCTTACCAATTTTGAGTGGCCAATTATTTCTGTGTTACCAATTTTATAATTTTAACGTATATTTAAAATAATGTAGTATATTTTGTGGAATTTCCACAAAAATTATTTAGCTTTCAATTTAGTAAACGGAAAAGTTGACTTTCTACTTACTCACTCTGTTGAAACTCATTTAATCGTTGGACAAGTAATGAACGTTAATTATAAATTGAACTTTGGTACGGTTTCAAACACTGTTTAAACTAACTAAATAAATAAATTAGAAGCAGTTCACTAACTCGTTAAAAACTACAGCTCAGGTGTGAAAAGCACAAGCTTTTATACCTCTCAACTGAATATTTTTTATCATTAACGTCGACGTAATATGATATTATTAGAACATTTGAATTTCCATGTAAAAAAGTTGATTGTACTATCATTAAGTTTGATAAGTACTATTGGATACTTGTATGATATTCTAACAAAAACTTTTTACTTTCACTTTTTTATTTTAATATGGCTAAACAAACATAACTTTTTTCTGCTAACGCTTTGCCTTACTCTTGCAGAAAATTGGTACGTCTTTCAGATACAAGATGTTACGATTTTTGTGATTAAATATTTGATGATAGTTTATTAAATCCAGTAATTTATGTACTGTAGAAAAAAAAAGTACGATAAATTATTGGGTGTTGGCCAGGTGTAAGTGGTGGGAGGAGATAGACGAGTCGACGAGTGTGTTATCTACTAAACGTTTTGAATAATGATAGTATTAATAATTATCGTCATCGTCGCTTCTTGTTCTTGTTGCTTGCTTCATTCTAAAAATTTCATGTTATGTAACATTAATGATTTTAGTGAATGAAAGCTTACGCTTTTCTTTTAACTTAGTACCTAATTATATTTAATTCTAAATTGAGCATGAAATTAAACAAAAAAAGTTATTCGCTACAGATTTTCATATCTCATGAACATCTGCGAATTTTATTTCAAAAGCTCGTTCGTAGAAAATTTGTGATATTCACATCATAAGGTAAATTTTAAGCATAGTTTAAATATCCTCTTGAATAAAGAATTGAGAAATAAAAAGACTAAATTCAATTATTTTACTCATGTCTGAATTTTTTTAAGTCACTAAACACTTTAATTCTTTCTAAAGTCATCCTGTACAATTTTTCAAATACTCCAAGAAGTAAAGTTCGGAAGGTTGTGAACTAAGTCTTAGTTGAAAGAATCCACTTTCTTACAAATAAATAAAATTTTATTTGGTATTTTTAATCAAAGAACAATGAAGTTAGTTCTATCTCTACTACACAAGGACAGATTCTAAATTACATAGTGATGTACTTATCAAAGAAAGATATTTGCATAAGCTGCCGTTCTATACGTTATGAACGTCACGTAATGCAAGGTTATTCCTAGCCACGCAAAAATAATAATTTCAAATGAAAATCCATTAGGAAAAGATAATAGTAGTTTTCGTACTATTGGCCCCAAGTAAAAAAATCTCTCCTTTTCCTTTTCAAGGGCCCGTTGATCACTTTCTGCCGTTAAGAGAAGCCCTAGGACGCAAAGTATTTTGGCAAGAAAAAGTAATTTCGTAGTAGTATACTTCGCATCCGGTGATGCATGTCACCAGATCAAGCAACGAACCCAAGGGATTCCTTTTGCTTTCCTTGGTTAGAACTGGTTTCCTTCTTAAGGTGTAATAAACGTCCAAAGGTTCAAAGAAGCGCCCAAAGTAGGAAACATAAATTTTTCTACTTTGGGCATTTATTTCATACTTGGGTGGAAAAAATCGAGACTTTTTACTAGAAGCCTGGTACTTGATTTGGTGATACGCGCCATCAGGTACCAAATTTACCAATCACATCTTCGAAATTCTTAAATTGATACTTAACACATAAAACAGGATAAATAATGTATATCAAACTATGCTGCTGTATTGGAGATGGAAATGACTATGCCCATGTCTCAAAAATGAGTTGGTCATTTCTAATGATTCCATCTATTAATATAGACCATTTCTTTCTAAATGGTTCATGGACCGGCACAGC